GTGAGTGCACAGGTGGGGAAAGTGACCCCTGAGGGCTCGCAGGTAGAAACAGGGAGGCGCCGAGAGGAGCCATAGCTCCACACCAGCCACACTGGCCTGCGGCCCTTGCCCCAGAGGAGGTGGTGACAGTGATGATGGTGGTGATAATCACTAGTCCCCGCTGGGGACTAGGCCATGAGCTTTACATGGGTTAATTTTTAAGTCACCTTGTTTACTGAAATATATATACGTATAGAAACGTGCACAACCCACGTGTGTACACATGTGTACAGGCGGATGGAATTTCCCAGTGGACACACCTGCGTCCAGCCACCCATACTCAGGAAATAGATCCCTTCTCCCCAGAACCCCCTCAGACCCCTCCCAAAACCCCCTAGCTCCCCGCCCCGAGGCAACCACTGTGTTGACCTGTAACTCCACAGATTAGTTGTGGCTGTTTCTGAACTTTATAAAAACGGACTCCTAGCACACGTGTGTATGGTATGACTTAGTCCTCAGCGGGAATAACAGCGGCCGGCCCTCATGTGGCCCTTACTGCCTGTCAGGTTCTCTTCTAAGCTCTTCGTTTGTATCATCACGTAATCCTCTCAACCATGGCACGAAATAGGTGCTGTCGCCATGGTCACCCTCATTTTGCAACGAGGAAACTGAGGCAGAGGGTTTGAGGGAGTAGCTCGCAGTGGCAGGTCAGGGTGCGGACGTAGGCAGTCTGCCTTGAGAGGCCACACTCAGCCCCACCCTAATAAGATGCTCTATCGGCTCCATTTCACAGAAGAGGAGACTGAGGCTCCAGAGAGACTAAGCCCCTTGGCCAAGCCTTAAGGCTGGTGGGTGGCACAGCCGTAGTCGGCTCCAGAGCCTGATGCCAGCCCTGTCCCACCTGATCGAGCCCCGACCCCAATCCCCTGTCACTCACCCTCCCGTGTCCTCCCCCCAGAGGTCTCCGTAACAGCCGCGCCACGGCCGGGGACATCGCTCACTACTACAGGGACTACGTGAACAAGAAGGCTCTGGGCCAAAGCTTTGTGTCCGGCGCCGTGGTCACGGCCGTGGAGTGGGGGATCCCCGAGCCCAGTGGTTCCGGGGCCCAAGCCCCCAGCCCCCTCTTCCAGGTGAGCGGCTTCCTGACCACCGAGGACCAGAGCCAGCAGCCCTTCTCCCTGTGCGCCCACAACGTGGTCCTGGCCACGGGCACGTCCGACAGTCCGGCCCGGCTGGGCATCCCCGGGGAGACCCTGCCCTTCGTCCACCATGAGCTGTCGGCCCTGGAGGTGGCCATCAGGGCGGGCACAGTGACCCCAGATTCGGACCCGGTCCTCATCATCGGCGCTGGGCTGTCGGCGGCCGACGCGGTGCTCTACGCGCGCCACTACAACATCCCCGTGATCCACGCCTTCCGCCGGCCTGTGGATGACCCGGGCCTGGTCTTCAACCAGCTGCCCAAGATGCTGTACCCAGAGTACCACAAGGTGCACCAGATGATGCGCGAGCAGTCCATCCTGTCGCCCAGCCCCTACGAGGGCTACCGCAGCCTCCCCGAGCACCAGCTGCTGCTCCTCAAGGAGGACCGCCAGGCGCTGTTCCAGGACCCCCAGGGCCTCCACAAGGTCTTCGGCCTCTCCCTGGTGCTGGTCCTCATCGGCTCCCACCCCGACCTCTCCTTCCTCCCGGGGGCAGGCGCCCACCTCGCCGTGGACCCTGACCAGCCTCTGAGCGCCAAGCGGAACCCCATCGACGTGGAGCCCTTCACCTACCAGAGCACACAGCAGGAGGGCCTGTACGCTGTGGGGCCGCTGGCCGGGGACAACTTTGTGCGGTTTGTGCAGGGCGGGGCCCTGGCCGTGGCCAGCTCCCTGCTGAGAAAGGAGGCCAGGAAACCACCTTAGCCCTCAGCCGCGCATCCTCACACCCAGGCCCTAAAGAGGAGGGGAGATCACCACAGCCCTGCCGGACACAGACGCCCCGTGAGGGAAGGGGCCTCTCCCAGCAGGAGACAGGAGTAGCCATGAGCTCATGCAACAGGCTCCTCAGATGAAGAGTGGGGAACCCAGGCTACAGACTCAGACCAGAGCTCAGGGCCGGAAGTACGGCCCAGATCTGCAACTTGGGGTGGAAGGTGCCAGTGTGAGCGGGGACCATCGGGGTCTGACTCCGGACTCCCTCCTTCCAAAATCAGGTCCCAAATAAAACCAGCACCTGCCTCCACTCGTGTGTGTGA